AATAGAGAATAATTAAGTTTACGAATATGATGTAATTTAATTGGTTGATTGTCACATGTTTCACAATTGGCCAATAACAACGTGTTATTCAATTTCATGTGACGACCAATCACGAGAAAGTTATCCTATATCCTCGAGATCCCCAAATTTACAGATGCTAGTTCCGCTGACCGGATTGATGATATTTAGACCAATAGGATTGCAATAATGAAAGTCTGATTATGTAACATCACTGCAGGCGCATAAATTGACTTTTTTTTTTTTTGTTGAGTTCTTCCTCCTCTATTACATTCCTTGTGTTGAATCAAGGGTAGGTAATTGACAGATTAAATCATTCATCCATTTGATTATGATCAATTCATGTACTATAGCTATACTTGTGAAAAAAAATGTCGGAAATCACCTATATTTTCCGATGCTCTTACAAGAGAATTAAACCTTTTTTAAAGACAATTTTGATTAATAATTGGTCGTGCTTAAGGTAGTATCAAATTAATTAAACCATTAATATTTTATAAAAAAAAAAACACCTGGTGTAATAAAGAAAATGAAGCATAACAACCAACTTCCGAACGGCCATTTTCACAAGGATTGGCAGTTGCGTGTTAAGACTTGGTTTGATCAGCCTGGACGCAAAAAGAGAAGAAGAATCAATCGCATCCAAAAGGCTGCTCGAATTGCTCCACGACCTATTGAACTCTTAAGGCCAGTAGTTAGATGCCCGACTATCAAATATAACACCAAATTAAGAGCTGGACGTGGATTTACTCTTGATGAACTCAAGGTTGGTTATAAACCTTTTGTTTAATTTAATATTTCGCAACATTGTTGATTTCTTTTATTCATTTATTGAGATTTGATATTATAGCAATTTTTTTATGATGCTTTGATTTGATTGTATATTGACACATTAGTCATTTTTATTGAGTTCCTTGATAGCAATGAAATAGCAATGTAAAAAATTAAAAGAAACAAATAGTTTTTCTTGAAAACTAGACATATATTCATGCATATTCTAGTGACATTTGGATTCCTTATTATTAAATCTCGGAAATTCATATTGATAGGCTGCCGGAATTCGCCGTAAGGAAGCACTCACTATTGGCATTCCCGTTGATCACCGACGTAAAAATCGGTCCGAAGAATCTCTTAATCTTAATGTCGAAAGATTGAGGGCTTATAAGGATAGACTTATAGTCTTTCCTAGAAAACCCTGTAAGCCAAAGAAAGAAGAACAAAAGGATGAGTATGAGGTATTATTCTTGAATTGTGTTTTTCCTTTTGTTGTGTAGTTTTGTTGCATTGGCTAACTTATAATTATCATCAAAGAAAAAGAAGAATGAATATGAGGTATTATTCTTTAATTTCAATTTCTCCTTTTTATCGCTAAAAGTTTTGTTACATGGCTGATATATATAATTATCATTAGAATAAGAAGGCAGAGTTCTCTACTGCCGCGCAACATAAAGGCCCCATCATTCCTATTCGACAAGTATTGGACGAAGAAGAGGCACGTGCCATTACTAATGAAGAGAAAGCAGCTAGCGCATATGTCACATTGCGTAAAGCGAGGTCCGATGCTCGTCTCGTTGGTGTGCGTGAAGCTCGCCGTAAAGCCAAAGAAGAGGAAGAAGCTGCCAAAAAGAAGTAGTGCTTGCATGATTATAATTCTTAAAGGATTTGTAAATAAATTATTCATAAAAATAGTGAGTGAAATGAATACAAAGAAATATTATTCGGACACAGCTGTATTCATGAGTATGATTAGTCCAGAACTTTATGCAAATAATAGTTATAAAACTATTAAAAGCATGTAACTTAAAACATTGTTTGCAAATCCTGCACATGACTTATCGATTACGAAGTTATCATTGTGTGTTACCGAAACGAAACCTACATGATAATAATTTAAAATATGGGTAAGTCAACAGAAATCAAGCAAAATTTTTTGTTTAAACCTTTAGAATAAAAATAATTTAATAAAAATTTAATCAAATTTGATAAAAAAAAGTTTTTTAAATTAATTCTATAAATTTATAAAATTTTTAAAAATTTATCAAATTTGATTAAGTTTTTGTTATTATTTAAAAAATTTATTGTAAAAAATTTGTTTGATTTTTATTCTATATAATAAAAAAAAATTTCAAAAAAAATTTTTGTAAATGTTATAGTTAAAATTTTATTTAATAAAATAAAAAGAAATTTTACGTTAAAGATTTTAAAATTACATTTATGCTACTATATAATAGACACCCAATGTAATATATTTTTTTTAATGTTAAGATGACTACTCACAGGTCTGGGGTTGATACCAGCACAGTTACACAGACCGCACCTGATCTTGTTACATTAATAAAAGTATATTCTAGCCATACCTGTGCCTTTTGAATACCTAATTTAAGTAGTTTATTTATTAATAGATTCTATACTAAATGCTGTACCTGCAACCCACTATTATTTGAATTATCCAATTAAACTTTCTGATCATCTTTATGTTATCAAATATCTTGCCTAAAGAAAAACCTGCTGTTAAGGCCTGCTAAGTCTTTAAAGCAGATATACACTTCTATCTAGAGGGTTATTTAACCTTGTGATAAATCTACTAGAATAAATATATCATATTTTTATTTGAATCACGTTAGTTAACATACTTTTTGCTTTGTTTATATTTTATTTAGAAGTAACTATAATTAAGTATAATAGTATTACATATTTAGTTTAAGGTAAATTATACATAAGAAATGATTTTTTTTCTTTTTCTTTCTTTTTTTTAAATAAAGCTATTGAACAAACAATATTATTAAACAAAACCTTTTTGACATTTTTTGGTTATACATTTTTACACTTATTTCTTTTTGGAAAAATGTGAGGCAGAAGACCTTTTAAAATAAATACTATACACTATTGTCGATTTATTTCGCTTTTTATGTCATCAAATTGCAGTTATCGTTCAAGTCATAGTCATGACCGCTCTACAACTCCTTGTGGTATTCATTCAAGCTACAACTGCTCTTCAACTTCTATCTGATCAAACTAAAACAATTATCAATCAGAAAACTATAAGCAAAAGTCTAGGTTTAGGTCTAGATCTAGATCCTAAAAAATAATAGAAATAATAAACGTTCCAAGCGTCATTCTAGTTCATAGGATAAAAATAATGAAGATAAAATAAGGCTATATAAAATTTTTTATACTTTACAGAAACTTGCGAATAAGCAATATTAATACTATTTATAATTAATTTAATTTCACAAGTTAAAGGTGTGGTGACTTAGAGTAGTGGTTAAGTTGTCACCTCCCAAGCGGCAGGTCTAGAGTTCAAATCCCACCAGAGATGTTTTTAGAAAAATAGGCCTGTGTTCCAGTAACAATTATTTGACGATCGATTAGATATATTACCTGTAATCTTAGTACTACTATCTTGAAATGGAAGCTTTTGGGCAATCCAAATCCAAGGAACTGGAATAATTAAAACCCGTTTGGCAAGACCCGAGTAAGGAGGTAGTGAAGATCTTCGACAATACTGCGAAAAAGTTAGAAACTGGAAACTGAAGAACTGGATGAAAACCCTGGGCAAGAAGGGTTCACCAACCTAGCCGCTGGAGTCGCACTGGAGGAAAAGGTCCTATACTATAGAATTAGGAACCAAGGGAACTAAAACTGAAAGGTACTTAAAGCCTAGATACAACGACCTGTCCAGGCTAACTGGTTTGGTAGTTGGGAAGGGATCGGTATAAGGACCAGCTTGATGTGGGTATTGGGATCAAAACGAACCTTGCAAGGGCACCAGATACTGGAATTGTGTAGTTTAATAGTTCGCTCTGACTGCTAGTGATGGTTTCAGCTGCTGCGGAAGGTATTCGTAGCCTAATCTGGAAGTATGTGGGATATAGAAAGATTAGTGGGGTATGTACTACACCCTCCCTAGGGCAACCTAGTAGTATGAGAACCTTACTGGGTTATCTATAGAATTAGGGTACAAGTAGTATAGCAGATGTTGATCTGGGTAGTCTTCAGTTTAGACCTATAGTATAGTTAAAACGTTAGGAAAAACCGGTAAGAACAAAACAGCCAGAGAACACTTCTGCTATAGGTTATGAAGCAGCATGAGGTTATGGGACGGCGTGATTGTGATGGATGGTACAGGATAGGGTAATCAAGAATGTATTATCTAAATACCTAATAAAAATCCACCTTCTCGTAATATTGCGAAGGTTATAAAAAAAAAAAATAAATAAAATAAAATTTCACAAGTTTCATTAAAGTTTTTTTTTTTTATAAAACTATTGATTTACTGATAGATCTAACAAATTATTTTATAATTCTAGTAATAAGTTTTTTAAAAAATATAGTTCATACTTTACTTAACAAAGTAAAAGAGTTAAAAAAGTCATCTCGACTCTCTATACCAAGCACACCTCCACATCAGGCAAACAATATAATTATAATAATACCAATAATTATCTAAGCAATGAAGAAGTTGGAACTTCTGGTACTATTAGTCTTTTGCAATTGTTAAATAATTGTAATTTAATAGACCTAGAGGATGAAATAAACAATATTCGTCCCTCTAATACTAATAAAGCTAATACCAATATTAATACAAACAACTTCTTTACCAACTTCTTTATCACAAAAACTGACAGCAAAACCGGCACCAAATAACAATATTGAGTCAAATAATATCAACAATAATACAGGTTCTAATATCATCACTAACAAAAATAATTAAAGACAAACAGCAATATAATGATAATAACCATCAAAATCTATCAGTATCTTCTAAACTATCTGGCAGTTATTTTAAAAGACTACATAAGATTTTAGAAAATATGGATGAAGATTAATATAAATTGTTTCATATATGTGACAAATGAATATCAGCAAGTGAAAATCAGAAAGTTTAAATATAAAATAATAGTTATTTTGTAGTATAATATTTAAAGTTCCTAGTTTTTACTTGATAGCACTTATTTTTAAAGAAATAACCGAGCTATCAGTTTAATTAATATTTATTTTAATATATAGGATGGTTTTCAATTCTCAAATAGTCTTAACGATTTGTTGTATTTAGATCATACCAAAAAATGAGCTGAAATATTTTGTTACATATCCAAGAATATTATGTCTGCTATTAGTAAAACCTTAAAAGGCAATTTTAGATTTAAATTGAGTAAATTAAATTATGTTCTCAAAAACCTTCATTAACACTAACACAAATTATAGAAAATTAAACAAGACTATGAAAAATTTATACTGAATAAAAAAAGAATAGATGTAAATAGAAAGTGTTAAGAAGTAAGTATAGTCTATTTAACTTCTTATACTAATAACAAATAACTTTAGAATTTTATACAAAATTATATTATATTTGTATTATATTAACTATAGTTATTATTGATTTTTTTTATTTTTTTGGTATTAAGGTGAGGTCATTGCCTTGTATCTTTATTAGATATTTGATTAGAGTATTTGTCTTATATGGCTACATATCTATCTAAGAATACAAGCTTTGGATAATTATCTATGACCTAAACCTATCAGAGTATGCTACATTCCTACCACGTATTGGGTTATATCTGAATTTTGATGTTTAAACTATTTCTAGTTACCTACCATATTCTCCTTATATCTCACCATCAAACCTTGATTACTCTCAAATTGGTTCCTTCAGAAAATCGATTCTTTTATAGCTTCTCAATTTGGTGTGCTTGTTATTTGATACGTACTAGTACTAGTAGATAACCTTTCTTATGGGTAGCCTCTCATATATGTATCTCAAGCCAGATGCTTGCTGCCATCACCAGTCCTATATGAGAAGCATTGGTATTATATGTTAGATCTTTAGACTTATCTTGTGTTTGCATCACCTATTATCAGCTTGCATCCCTTCATACAACAATACATTGTATGAATACTACAGATCCTTCTACTTAATAAACTGACCTTATATCTCAAGCCAGGCCTCTACTGCCACTGATGGTTTGCTATCCCCAGATCTTGATGTTTTCTAAGTTATATAGAGTAGTTGTATAGCTTCTACCCCCTTATATACTCCCTTATATGGTGTTCGCCAGGACCATGATTTGTGAGGGCCTCCTGAAGTTGCATAGCAACTGCAAGGCAATACACTTCTAACCATTAACTTTCATAACTTGCTTTAATGACCTATTTTGTTAAAGACCAGCCTAATATCACGAAATTACTTAAGTAGCAAGCTAAATCACTTCTAGCTATTTTTAGTTAGTGTAGTATTTGTGCTGATATATCCTAGCTCTTTTTGTTCTAAACTTCTATACAGGTATAACCAGACTCTGATTTGGTGCATTTAGATATACAGAGGTAGGTTACATTCTCTATACCAAATAGCCTTCTATAGTTATTTCACCGATGCCAGAGATGCTTCCAATTCCAGTTAAGGCATGATCCTTTATCACAGCCCATAGTTGCATGTCTTCACTTCACTCACTACTCTAGTTTTGGTAGTATTAAATCATCCTTCCAAGCAAGTATTAAATACCATACCATATTAGAACTTATTCGCACAATCTATTAATCATCCTTCCAAGCAAGTACTCCACAAGTTGGATGCAGGGATATTGGTAATGCCAAATATAGAGGTAATAGGATGTTGGTGTTGCCTCTTAGTCA